CCCCCAGCATTAAATTCACTGGTACCCATTTGTACACCTGGGTGGAGAGAGGCACTGTGTGAGTAAAGTGTCTTGCCCAAGAACACAACACAATTTCCCCAGCCAGGGCTCAAACCTGGACTGCTCTATCCGAAGTTGAGCGCACTAAACTCAAGACCACCACGCCTCAACATGCCCATGACACCATTCAATAGCAGATTTCCACATTGTCGTCATTTGACTACAACTACCAGAATTCCTCTTGTTTTTTCTTTATGATTAAAATTTTGAAGTCCCAGTGGGGTTTAAATAACAATTGCCTTAATTAGCACAACAAACAGAAAAAGTGAAGGATTCTGGTAGTTGTAGTCAAATGACGCTAACATGCAAATTGCCTATTAATGCTCAGACAGCCATACTGACCTAACATTGGCACTGATGATTTCCTTCCCGGGTGGCAGTGGATATAATCTTAAAACTCTTTCCCAGAGTTGTTTTAACCAAGGATCAACAACTGCATCTGGGCTGGAAAGAAAAACACTTCACGACAAGAGAACAGATAATGTTATTACTAAAAGTAAGTTAACTAGTGAATAAAAAAACCTACAAATGGATGGACAGAGAAACAAACAAATGTCCAAATAAAAATGGTGTAGCTCCGTCAAGAGCAACCAAATAGATTTTATAACCAGAGTAAAAGTAGACCCTATTTATATTCAGACAACTGTATCTTTTTATCAGAAATAATCATTTATGATAATAACCTTTTAAACAATCTAAGAATTTGCACCCAGTACGTATAATTCTTAAAAAAACCTTTAATAATAACCTAGCTTCTGCACTTGGGAATCACAGGAGAGCAGACTGTGCAAACCAAATTAACATACCCAAGCTCATGCTGGTCATCTGCCAGGCCAAGGGACTGGAGTTCTGTACCACCCAGCTGAATCAACCTCTTGTTCAACTTCTTGGCAATAAAGTTAAATCTGCATGACAAAGACAAACAGATAAATTTAGTTTTGAATAACTTCACCTTAGGC